ACAGGGGGGACATGTCCCCCCCACGTTTTCCAAAGTCAAGTTTTGACCCCTGCACTTTTTACCATCCAAAACCAATATTACGCTATATTAAATTGACACTGGTTGAGCTCTAGGACCAAGCAGAAAACAACCGTTTGTGTTGAAGCCTGTTTCCCATTAGAACATACTGTAAAGACCCGTCCACCCCCCCCGGTCCCCCCGCCCCCCCCCCCTTCTAAAGTGAGAATTACGTCCATGGGCAGGGCCAACGTTAGCAGCTGTCATACGCTCCATCTGAAATGTTTGAATTTCAATTGGCTCGTTATTATGTCTCATGTTAGAGATACTTCACATACTGATGGGAGCTAAAAAAAATTTCCTCAAAATAAAGAATAATTTTAATCACAATTCAATCGTACAATCCTAGAAAAACCTCATCCAATCAATGTGCACGTCCTGTTCTCACTGACTGGATAGAAATCCCACCATCAATCTGTGTGTGTGTGTGTGTGTGTGTGTGTGTGTGTGTGTGTGTGTGTGTGTGTATTGTGAACTGGCGTTGTGATTTAGCACTACTGAGATGTAGCCATCCTTACGCTGACAAAAATGTAACTAAGTAACTTTTACTTTGAGAACATTTTATTTACGATACTTTTTTGCTTTTACTTGAATAAAAATATAGTCAAGTACTTTTACTTGTACTTGAGTAAAAAAATTATCAAAGTATTGGTACTCGTACTTAAACTCCCTTTCTATGGAATTGTAATGAAGCTGTAAAGTGAGAAAATCCTTGTGTGAGCCAGATTAAGATTATTTTTTTAAAGTATAAGAATTAAAGTAAAGAGCTCGTCGTGTGGCTTTTAGACGTCAGGAGATGTGATTTTATTTTGGCTTTCCTCCCAGTGGTGAGGTCATCAGCAGTATGTGTTCTGGTTTGGAAACCAGACAGACATGGCTTTCTTACGTTACCGTGGCGACGGTGTGATGCTGAAACTGTCAGCAGATTAAGGTAAAAACTTTTCCATGCTGTGTGCTAAACAAGAAAAAACCAACAGAAACTGTCAAAGATGATCACAAGCTTCTTCTGGAGAAGATGGCTTCATAAAAGGACATCTACATCCTGGAACCAATGTCCCTGTGCTCTGCATCCCTAAATGTTTTCTACGGGATTTAGATCAGAGGAACATGAAGGATTCTCCTAAAGCGCTACAGGATTTTTAATCAGCTGGACTGAAACTGTAATGGAGCGTCCAGAGGGATCCAGTTATCATCCCAGTTATGTTGGAGGCCAGAAGGACCAGCCAGGTCTTTCTGGACAGGTTAGAGATTAAAACCACCTGTTTGCATTTGGTGCTTCCACACTAAAAGAAGATTTGTTGACTGGAAGGATCACAAGGAACCTGTTGGTGTTCATGTTCTACCTGAGGAACCTTCCTGTTGGTTTGGTTAAAGCAGACATTATTCAACTCACCTATCACCTTCATCCAGCCCAGGTGTTGACACCTAGAGATGTGTTTGACCAGCTGTTCCATCAGAACAGGATCGTCTTCGACAGAAGACACACCTGAGATGAGCAAAGTGGGAGGAGCTAAATTACAGCTGGTTAACAGACAAAACGAAGCATTTACAGAGTCGGACACAGGTGGACAACGGCCACAAAATAGGTACAGACAGACAGGTAACCAAGTGGAGATAGACGCATCAACAAGAGGAGACAGACAGGTAACCAGGTGGAGATAGACGCATCAACAGGAGACAGACAGGTAACCAGGTGGAGATAGACGCATCAACAAGAGGAGACAGACAGGTAACCAGGTGGAGATAGATGCATCAACAAGAGACAGACAGGTAACCAGGTGGAGATAGACGCATCAACAGGAGACAGACAGGTAACCAGGTGGAGATAGACGCATCAACAGGAGACAGACAGGTAACCAGGTGGAGATAGACGCATCAACAGGAGACAGACAGGTAACCAGGTGGAGATAGACGCATCAACAAGAGACAGACAGGTAACCAGGTGGAGATAGACGCATCAACAGGAGACAGACAGGTAACCAGGTGGAGATAGACGCATCAACAGGAGACAGACAGGTAACCAGGTGGAGATAGACGCATCAACAGGAGACAGACAGGTAACCAGGTGGAGATAGACGCATCAACAGGAGACAGACAGGTAACAAGGTGGAGATAGACGCATCAACAAGAGGAGACAGACAGGTAACCAGGTGGAGATAGACGCATCAACAGGAGACAGACAGGTAACCAGGTGGCGATAGACGCATCAACAAGAGACAGACAGGTAACCAGGTGGAGATAGATGCATCAACAAGAGACAGACAGGTAACCAGGTGGAGAAAGACGCATCAACAGGAGACAGACAGGTAACCAGGTGGAGATAGACGCATCAACAGGAGACAGACAGGTAACCAGGTGGAGATAGACGCATCAACAAGAGACAGACAGGTAACCAGGTGGAGATAGACGCATCAACAGGAGACAGACAGGTAACCAGGTGGAGATAGACGCATCAACAGGAGACAGACAGGTAACCAGGTGGAGATAGACGCATCAACAGGAGACAGACAGGTAACCAGGTGGAGATAGACGCATCAACAGGAGACAGACAGGTAACCAGGTGGAGATAGACGCATCAACAAGAGACAGACAGGTAACCAGGTGGAGATAGACGCATCAACAGGAGACAGACAGGTAACCAGGTGGAGATAGACGCATCAACAGGAGACAGACAGGTAACCAGGTGGAGATAGACGCATCAACAGGAGACAGACAGGTAACCAGGTGGAGATAGACGCATCAAGAGACAGACAGGTAACCAGGTGGAGATAGACGCATCAACAGGAGACAGACAGGTAACCAGGTGGAGATAGACGCATCAACAAGAGACAGACAGGTAACCAGGTGGAGATAGACGCATCAACAGGAGACAGACAGGTAACCAGGTGGAGATAGACGCTTCAAGAGACAGACAGGTAACCAAGTGGAGACAGACACATCAACGAGACACACATCAACTGGAGACAGACAGGTAACCAGGTGGAGATAGACACATCAAGAGGAGACAGACAGGTAACCAGGTGGAGATAGACGCATCAACAAGAGACAGACAGGTAACCAGGTGGAGACAGACACATCAACGAGACACACATCAGCAGGAGACAGACAGGTAACCAGGTGGAGACAGACGCATCAACGAGACACACATCAGCAGGAGACAGACCGGTAACCAGGTGGAGATAGACACATCAACGAGACACACATCAACTGGAGACAGACAGGTAACCAGGTGGAGATAGACGCATCAACAAGAGACAGACAGGTAACCAGGTGGAGATAGACGCATCAACAGGAGACAGACAGGTAACCAGGTGGAGATAGACGCATCAAGAGACAGACAGGTAACCAAGTGGAGACAGACACATCAACGAGACACACATCAACTGGAGACAGACAGGTAACCAGGTGGAGATAGACACACCAAGAGGAGACAGACGGGTAACCAGGTGGAGATAGACGCATCAACAAGAGACAGACAGGTAACCAGGTGGAGACAGACACATCAACGAGACACACATCAGCAGGAGACAGACAGGTAACCAAGTGGAGACAGACACATCAACGAGACACACATCAACTGGAGACAGACAGGTAACCAGGTGGAGATAGACACATCAAGAGGAGACTGACAGGTAACCAGGTGGAGATAGACGCATCAACAAGAGACAGACAGGTAACCAGGTGGAGACAGACACATCAACGAGACACACATCAGCAGGAGACAGACAGGTAACCAGGTGGAGACAGACGCATCAACGAGACACACATCAGCAGGAGACAGACCGGTAACCAGGTGGAGACAGACACATCAACGAGACACACATCAACTGGAGACAGACAGGTAACCAGGTGGAGATAGACGCATCAACAAGAGACAGACAGGTAACCAGGTGGAGATAGACGCATCAAGAGACAGACAGGTAACCAAGTGGAGACAGACACATCAACGAGACACACATCAACTGGAGACAGACAGGTAACCAGGTGGAGATAGACACATCAAGAGGAGACAGACGGGTAACCAGTTGGAGATAGACGCATCAACAAGAGACAGACAGGTAACCAGGTGGAGACAGACACATCAACGAGACACACATCAGCAGGAGACAGACAGGTAACCAAGTGGAGACAGACACATCAACGAGACACACATCAACTGGAGACAGACAGGTAACCAGGTGGAGATAGACACATCAAGAGGAGACAGACAGGTAACCAGGTGGAGATAGACGCATCAACAAGAGAAAGACAGGTAACCAGGTGGAGACAGACACATCAACGAGACACACATCAGCAGGAGACAGACAGGTAACCAGGTGGAGACAGACGCATCAACGAGACACACATCAGCAGGAGACAGACAGGTAACCAGGTGGAGATAGACGCATCAACAAGAGACAGACAGGTAACCAGGTGGAGACAGACACATCAACGAGACACACATCAGCAGGAGTCAGACGGTTAACCAGGTGGAGACAGACGCATCAACGAGACACTTATCAGCAGGAGACAGACCGGTAACCAGGTGGAGACAGACGCATCAAGAGGAGACAGACAGGTAACCAGGGGCAAGTAAACCAAACTGGAAGCCACTGAGCAGGTGAACACTTACAGTTTCTTTGGCTTCGTATCAGACTGTTGGACAGGTGACCTGTCCATCAGAACAGCTGTCCACCTGCAGAGACGTGGGGTCCAACGTTGTGGACACACCTAAGCTCTCTGACTGTTCCTCTCGCTGTGTAACACCTTAATGAGATTCACTTAATCACCTCGCTCACACACACACACACACACACACAGATGTTTGTGTGGACAAACACACGCACACAAACACACACATGCATGCACGCGTGCACACACACACTCTTAAACCACACACACACACACACACACACACATGCATGCACGCGTGCACACACACACTCTTAAACCACACACAGAGGTCAAATGTCAGATTGTTTTATTTCAGGTGGTCAGCTGACCTGGAGATTTTGAGTCACAAGATCAAAACAACCACTCAACAGCCCTAGCAGGAGGGCTTGGTTACCATGGCAGCATTTAAAGTGACAGAGTGACAATTTAATGTCTTGAAGACAGTTAACATTGTTAGCATGTGGCATTCAGAGCAATGGGCTGTGTTAGCTTTAAGCTAACCTGTGACGCCCCGACCAATGATTTGCATAGATCCATGTGACCATAGTGCATCTTGGGAAATCAAATTCGTCACAGCCCTCCCGACACTTGGGTGACAGGTGAAGAAGAATGGGGCAGACGTGAAGACGAGGAACTTTACAGGTAAACGTGAACAAGTGCCTCGGGTACTGAACTCTGGTGAGACAGCAGTGGAGCTCCACCTGCTGTCAATCTGATGACATCACAGCGGCTAAAACTTAAAAACAACAGTCTTTGGCTGAATCCTTACTAAATACTGATTTTACAGGTGTGTGATTCACTGTGATACCTGGCACAGGTGAGATGGGACACAGACCCAGGTGTGTTAGAACATCACAGGAATCGGAGCTAGTCACACACCTAGAAACTAGTCACAGCTAAAACACACTAATAAGGTGCAGACCCCTCCCACTCAAGCAGGTACTGGACCGTCCCCTGACGGGTCACACGGCGAGCTAGCACCTGGTACCTCTCCCCATTGGTTAGTCTTCCAGCCACTCCAAAGTATGAGGAGATGGAAGAGTGCAGGTGGGAGGAGTCAGGTAGAAGACAGGGGGGGTCTGCAGACAGGTGGGTGTGGCTTGGAGCCGTGTGGTCATCATGGATCTCAGGGGGCTCCTCTCCTGCCTCACTGCGATTAGCCCACTGGCTGTAGCTGCTGGAGGAGAACTTCCTCCTATTACTGCCCACTCTCCTCCTGAGGACACGCAGGTCAGAGGTTACACCAGGGATTCCTCCAGCGGGCAGCTGGTGAAACAGAGCTACGTTTACCTGAAGCGGTAGGAGCCACTGGTGGTGGCAGAACCTGAGGTGGAGGCATCTGTGGAATCCTGGTCGATGCTAACGGCTCTACTGGAGCTGCTGAGGAACACAGGAACCGTCTTAATGAAACCCGAAGCTCTGACACTAATCCACGTGCAGATCGGAGAACTCGTCTCACCTTTTGAGGCTCTGCAGCTCATCTAGGGTGAAATCGAAGATGTTGGCCATGAGGTGGTTGGAGGTCCAGCTGCAAGTCAGCTGGTTCTAAAAGGAGACACAAGGAGAGCTTCAGTCTGAGGCTGAAGCGAGCAGAACTCTGGTCCAAACAGGTGTCTCACAGTGGGAATGGCATCCTCCAGAAGCCACTTTGACCGTTTCTTCTTCTCCCTCCCAGATGAATCACTGAGAAAAAAAAAAGAGCCAGGGTCAGGTTCCGTCAGAACACAGAGCTGCTAGAACCAGAGGAACCCTGTCGGGTTTCCAAACTGGAGTATTTTTAACCACTAAAACTGAACACCTTTAAGTAAATGTACCTGGCCAAACTCCTCTTGTGACTCCGCCCCCCTTCATTCTGAGCACGCTCAGGAAGAAGCTTGTTGGGGGGGTTGGGAGGAACCCGGGTCCTCAGACGAAAAATGCACTTCCTCTTTTTGATCTCCTTCCCACAGAGAAACCTAAACAGACACACTCGGGTCAGATCCGGAGCACACCGATGGAAGAAAGGCAGAACGACTTCCTTACTTGCTCTTGTATTTATTCAGACAGTCCAGCAGGTGCTGCCCCCTTTCTGCCAGAGGAGTGTTGGACAGCTGGGGAAACATAAATAATCAGAGTACAGCTGGCTCAGACAGACACCGCCCTGCACCGACAGACCCCACCCTTCACCGACAGACCACGCCCCTCTCCGACAGACACCGCCCCACTCAGACAGACACCGCCCTGCACCGACAGACACCGCCCCGCTCCGACAGACACCGCCCTTCTCTGACAGACACCATCCTTTTCCAACAGGCACCACCACTCAGAATCTCAGACAATTAGAATATTGTGAAAAAGTACAAATATTCTACACACAGTTTCAAAAACAATCAGCTGATTATTCCAAAACACCTGCAAATGTTTACTGAGCCTTTAGATTGTCTCTCAGTCTGAGCTGGATTAATCAAAATAAATGGACCTTTGCACCATTTTCTTATTTTCCCACTCCTACCTGTACATGTGCTGTTCTGCTAGTCACCACCAGGTGGCAGTGTTAGCCTCAGCAAGAACGTCAAAGGGGAAACATCTCAGAGGTTATGGCCATAGAGGCCAGCTGCCATCTTGGACGGGGCTCTATTTGCCCCAGTGCATCTCCACAGAGGAAGGTGTTTTCCCAACTTAAAACACATTTTATGATGCCTTTTCATGAAATCACACACATGGCATGGCATTATGATTAAAATCTAAATACAACTAAACAAAATAAATTAAAATATTAAAACCCAACAAGTAGGCTAAAAAGTCAATAGTAACCCCACGTGATCTGTTTTTACCAGCTCAGTGACTTAGTGGTAGAGTGTCCACCCCGAGGCTGGGAGATCAGGGTTCGATTCCTGGTCGGGTCGTACCAAAGACTTAGAAAAAAATGGGACCCAATGCCTCCCCGCTTGACACTCAGCATTAACTCATTCACTGCCAATGACGACTAAAGTGGTCATTTGCATGTTTTTACTGTGTGGGCGTCGGACGAGCCCCCGCACCGTGAGAACAAACATCTCAGCTCTAAAGCCGATCTTCATCCGCGTACGTCACACGTCACGTGATCAGGAAGCAGAACATCCATGTGTTAGGAGATCGTTTTGGGCCGCTGCTGTAAAAAAAGTGAGGCGCGAACCGGAAAAGTTTCTGCCGATCACAATTCAACAACGGATTATGAAAGAACGGATAAAACTTGAAACGCGCGGATTCTTCCTGATGTAAGAGGTGAGACTCCTCTTTGTTTTGGCGTCGACATCATCCTAGCACGCAATGTTCTGTCACTCTTAAAAAAAACAGTGAGAAACGCTGGCAGCGAATGAGTTAAGGGGTTGGATTGGGGGATTAAACCACCAAATGGTTCCCGAGCACGGCCGTGTCTGCAGCTCACCGCTCCCCCAGGGGATGGGTCAAATGCGGAGAATAAATTTCGCACACACATCAGCGTGTGTGACAACTAATGGGACTTTAACTTTAATAGCACTCTGGTTTCTGCAACCGTAGGCTGTACAACAAATGGACACAGTAGCTTTCTCTGCGCAGCATCTAGAAAGTGAGGAACCCATCCAATATGGCAGCGACGCAGTTACGATCTCCAGCGCCCAATGGGGCGTCTTCATAATCATGTCTATGGGAAACATGCCCACTTGCCCTAAAAGCAGTTTCCTGCTCCTCTGCCCTACTGGTTGAAAGTGGAACTACAACTGTCGTAAACAACCCTCCAGCAGCTCGCTGTAGCTAGCGCTAACAATCAGCTAACACTAACATCAGCCAACTGATACTAAAATAAGCCAGTAAGTAAAAAAAATCCAAACTGTCGGACAAAAATATTATTACTTACAAGTCCTGTAGCAACAAAGCCAGGTCACCATCAGTCCATGTTTTTGTTTAGCTCCCTTAAACGAGTGTAGGCTGCGCTGATGTTCACTCTGGTTTTAGCTCTTCTGCTTCGCCTTCACATACATTACTCACTTACTTTTACTTGAAAAGCAAACTTCTTATTGATGATCGGCAAACTGAGCGCCATGTGGGACACTTACCCGCTCCACAAAACTATCAAGGGCGATTTTTAGTCAGCAGGGGGCTGCAGTGGTGCCAAACATGAAACTGGTCAAGTTTCTAACTCAACAATCACTGAGACCAATGTTAAAGCTCAAGCTTAAAGTAAAAAAAAAAACAACTATCAATCGTTACTTTAAACCAGTGTTTCTCAATGCCTTTCCATCACGCCCCCCGGGGAACATATGCTCTGGATCAGAAGGTTCTGTTACCTTTCCAAGCTGTAACTGGTCCCAGTTGGCAGAGACAAAGGCCAGAATCTCATCCAACTCAAAGTATTTCTTCTTGCTGCTGACTGACAGGTTGTAAAGGACAATGTGGACCACATCGACCCACCTGAGGGACAGACGGCGGACATACTCTGACCCTTTGTTGCACACGGCACACAGGAACAGGTAAAACCTGAGAAAAACCAGACAACAGTCAGGATTTTCCACAGGAGGAATTGTGGACTGGATGAAGTTTCCGTCTCTGAACCTGTCTCCAAACATCATGGACTCCTGCAGACACTGAATACACGCCTCGTGGAACCACTGCTGACACTTAAAACACTGCATCATCTTCAGGTACCACCTGCACACAGAACAACATCAGCTACCGGTTCAACACACCTGGACAGACTTGGTCCTGATTGGTCACACTTACTCTCCAGGACCACCACAGTAACAGTAACACTGCTGCTGATTGGTCCTATGCTGAGAGTCCCAGCTCAGAGAGGTCAGGTCGTAAGGCAGAACCTGCTTCATGGCCCAAAGAGCTTTGGCCAGCGCTCCTTTCTTCAGGGCACCGCCTTTCTGTGATGACACAGGAGGACCGGTCATGTGGGGTTACCAATCAGAAACAGGAAGGAAGGGCAGGAAGGAAAACCGGTACCCGCACAGCCAGAGCAAAAACACAGCGCCTGCAGAACCACGGTCTCAGGTCGCTGCTATCGCCCTCTACTGGAGGAACATGGCACTGCTGGTGGAAACCTGCCAGAGACACGGGTACAACAGGTGAGGGGACACCATCTCCACACAGCCAGTCTCTGTCCAACCCACCAGACTCACCTATGCCACACTTTCCACAAATCAGAATTCCATTGGTGTGTTTTGATTGGTTCTCAGATTTTGGCTCCACTCCGTTGCACACGGAGCAGTGAGGCTCCTCCCCTGGTATTCCAGCTGTAATGTGATTGGACAGATTTTCATGCATCAAAAGGGAGCCTAAGTCTCCTCCCCTCCCGGTCGGCTCACGAGTCCCCAGAACAAAGAAAAAATGAACGTAAGTGAACGGGGCGATGAAAGCGATTAGGCTTTTCCTCAGAATCACGCGCATGTTGTAGTTCGATTCAAACGAAAGGTAATATTGTGTTTTGGACTATGCGACTTAGGCTCCCCATGTGTGGTTCTGGTCCATTTGTGTTCAGGTTGAAAGCTCATCATCACATCTTCAGCTGGAGACACCATCTTGAAGCCTAATGTAGTCTCCCTAACCCACGTCATGAATATTAATGAGGAAGACTCATAATCCATGTTTTCCGCTGACCCATTCTTCCGATAACCTATCAGGATAATCAGACTAACCGACTAGTTAAAGGGAAAGTGACTGGCTAGTTAGCTAACCATCTCACCATGTTGGATGTCCTTCCACAGCACCCAGAACTTGGAGTTGTCCTCGAAGGTGACGAAGCAGCTCTGCCTGGGGGAGCTCACCTGTTCATCAGTCAGAACACGGCATTTTGAGCTCTCAACCAGTCAGGTGATGCTACTGACAGTGTGATGTCAGGTGTGTCTGAAGCTGGACTCACCCTCTGTATCCTCCCCACATAGTACAGTCCATCTGACCAATGACAGAGCACGAACTGACCAATAGTCAGGCAAGACTCCGGCCCCTCAACATCCTCTGGGATTGGTCCACTAAGACATGCCCCGCCCCCTGGACACACCTGATGTTCCACACCAGAGAAGGCCTGGACCAGGTCCTCAAACATCCTGGGAAGGAGGGAGAGAGAGAGACCGTTGAGCAGAACAAGCAGACAAAAGGCGCGCGCACAGGAACTCTCGGTCGAACTCTGATTCATTCCTGAACTGTCAAGGGGGTTTCTGACATGTGTGAGCATGCGCAGTGCATCCCTCCACCACAGACCGTTAACTAACCTACTAACCACATAACCACCACACCCTGAGCTCGTTACCGACCAGAAACTACCGGCAAGACCCAGTTACAATAAAACGGGGTTAACACTGACGTTTTTTTTTATCACAGACACATAATGAAGCCGACTTGTCAAGAACCGGAGCCGGTTCTCCACTGAGCCGTCTCACCTCATCTGATGCGGGCTGTGTCCTCCTCTCCCGTTATCCGGTGCTCCGAACTGCACCGTTAGCCGCGGAGGGTCACGGGTCCTCCGGCGAGCCCCTTCTGCTCTGTCCCCCTGTCTCTTCTAGTCTGTCCCCGGTCTTCGTCCCTTCCTCCGTCTTTGTCTCTTGGTCTCTGTCCTCACCGCAGTCTCTGCCTTCACTTCAAACTCCCACAATCGCCATTTTTTCATTTTCCCGCGAATCGCAGGATGTTTGTAGATACGTGATGACGCCATATCCGAACCCCGTATAATCAGATTTTATGGCAAGCCGTTTTTACATTTATTAGGCACTCTCAGAAAGCACTAAGTCCTATTTGCTAGTAAAAATTTACAATATTCAGATATCCATAATAGTATTCTTACCATCCCTAACGACCGATTAAAGATGTAAAAGACTACATTGTTATTGTTGTATTTTAGACAGCATTATTTGGCTTAGTTTGACGTAGCAGCAAAACCTTTTACACTGAAAATCGTGTAGCGAGAAAAGACTGTAATTACATTAAAATATAAATATTTCATTTTGAATGTTTCACTTTATATTTTACTATTCTACTTGCAATGACACAACTGAGCACAGTGCAACATGTCTGACAGGCACAACTGAGTCTTGGCTTCAGCCTATTGCACTATCAAATACAAAGAATTTTTTACTTGTTGGTGTACAAAGTTTTTAAAAAGTGGAGTAGTCAGGTGACAAGACATCGCCTTGCAAGGCGGTTTTAAACACCCCCCGACTCCACAGACAAACTAGTACAGCGTGGATGGAGTTAGCGTGTTCTCCGCACCATTAGCTGGCTTTTTACTGAATATTATTCTGTTTTTGTTCATGAACTTGTGAGAAAATACTGAAACACTGTTAAAATGTCACAGCAAATGTCAGTTTTTTATTCATATCTAAAATCAGATTTAAGCAAGGAGACAAATGGAAGAGCAGCGGATCCTTTAATATTAAAACCTCCCTAATATGTAACCAAACATTAGTCATACAGAAACAAGTACCGCCTATAGAGACTGTGAACAGGAACCCATCCGCTGTTTACAGGTAGAAAAAATAGTTGTCACACTTTATTTAACAGGTGAGGACTGATATCAGGTCCTGGCTGGTTTGATGTCCAAGATCCTGGTTTAGGACTCAAGTTTTCTGGGTCGTATCTTCATCTCAGTGAACTGCAGAGAGTACTGCCAGCCGGTCCAACTGGACCACTCAACACCATCAGCGTAGGAGGCGTGGCCTCCTCTGAGGTACTGCCCGTTCAGGTTGGAAGTATGGCAGTTCCGATACCACCACGCCCCCTGATAGTACGCCGCACAGTTGTTCTCAGACTGGTCCTGGTCACGATCTTTGGTGGTGAATCGCATCCCCGAGTGTTTCAGGAGAGAGTCACCTGGAGGAGGCAGAGCATCGGTGTTAAAGCTGTACCAGGAATGTGTGGTAAAGGTAGTACTGTTCAGTACCTGCAGTCCCAGAGTACCCATCCACCATCAGTGGGTAGCCATCCTCCTCTGGGTTCACAGAGTCTCGACCAACAGAAAAGTCTGAGTAATGAGCAAAAGCTGTGGCGTTGTCAAAGTCGGCCATGTCAATACGTAACTCGAAACCACCCGACCTGGTGAGTGAGTAGATCCTCTGTAGACCTGGGAAGGGGATGGGTCAGTGGGAAAGTTTCACACTGGTCATGTTTCTAAAAACACACTGCAGAACACTTCTAAAACAAGGTCAAAATCTAAAACCCAAGAAACAGTCCAAAGAGTCCAAAAAACCCCAAAAGGAGTCTAAAAAGATGGGAATAAAAGCCAACGGCATTAAAAATCCACACATCTAAAAACATGTTCAAAGACCTAAACGAGTCCAACGAATCAAGATCAGTGTAGGGTAAGAAAATCTAGTCTAGAAACACACGGCATATAAATGATTCAAAAAGTCTTTAGAAGTCTTGAAAGTGATGGTGTTAATCATCGCACTCGTGAGTCAGTCCAGAAAGGACAGAAAACGTAAAGTCAGACAGGCCGTCCCACGTTTACGCTCACCAGAATAAATAAATATGTCACACCTAGCCAATGTTCCCCCGTGGTGGTCCCAAAGCCATCTCTGTAGGCCGCCCAGTCTCTAAAGAAGTTCACTGAACCGTCTTCTCTCCTCTGCATCACCTGCAACACACACACACACACACACACACACACACACACACACACACACACACACACACACACACACACACACACACACACACACACACACACACACACACACACACACACATTAGTCCAAATGAAACATTCTAGTGCAGCTTGTGTTTCAGGTCTTCATACCGTCCATCCTCCTCCCTCAGTGCTCATGTCGCAGTAGACCATGAACCCACTGGGCTCATGAATCGGGAACACGGAGTAAACTCCATCCACGGAGATGCCGGACTTCAGGATGTCACTGCAGTCTCTGGGTCGGTCAGCTGAGATAAACACAGGTTGTTTCAGTAAAAATAACAGGCTGATCCGACAGTCTTACTGTTCTACCTTTACCTACGGTGCTCCTTTTGTTTAAAAAGCAGTCATTAGACTGGTCTCCCCAGATAAGTCCTCCTTTTTGTCTCACAGAGAAACTGGTTACAGCCACAGATACTAGTTACAGCCTGAGAGACTGGTTACAGGACATCCCTTTAGGCCCCAGGCCTTTTTTCTTTGGGCCCTGGTGCCTCCCAATTGGGGCCTTTGGAGTTTCTGGTCCCAAGTGTCAGTGGCTGTTTGATTGTGGTTGTAGTTGTGTTTTGAGAATGTGGACAGTTGTAGATGTTTGGGACATGAAACTGTAGAGGCCCCAAATTTGGGGGGGGGGGGGGGGGGGGGGGCGTTAGAGTTAAACAGGTTAAATGGTCACCTTGAAAGCGCTGCTATGTTTGCTGTGGGTCCATGGACGTAGTTTTGACGTAGTGTTATCGAATCTGACGCCATAAGCAGCCTTGGAGTTGCATGCAATAACCCCCACGATGGAAGGAATGCAGACAAATGCTGTGAAACTCTACCCCCCACCCCCCCCACCCCCCCCCCGCCTTCAGATTGTGGTCTCTAGCGAGGTCATTACGTTGAAGGAACTCTCTGCTCTCTGTGCTTCCCCATGATCTCCCTCCCACCTGCGGAGTCAGCTGGTTGAGCGCCACACAGGCAGTCCTCGCTGAGGAAACCAGGATCCCAGCCCCTCCCTCCTACCTATCTTTACCATAAGTATACAAAAGACATTTATAAAACTACAGCCCATAGGCTCTTTTATGCAATGTCAGGAAAGTCAAGTACACGGGTGCCAGGAACGGCCAATCACATGTTAGCAAGCAACCCTAGTCGCGCTACCGTGATAGATCAAGTGGGTTTATTTGAGGATAGAGTCAGGGGGAGGGGAAAAAAGGCCCTTCAGAGTTACCGTCCACAGAGAGGGCAGCTTTGCTATTCAAAAAAACACCTCAGACAGAAATGCAACAGTTGTCAGACATTACACAACATAAGTGTCCACTAGGTGGGGAGGTAGGGTTGGGACTCTCCTCACTTCAGTGCATGCAGCCGCATGGAGCAGCGCTCATCACCTCCGTCTGGACAGGGGAGGGAGATAATGGGTTAGAGGGCACATTGACTCTTAGATACGGTTCCACGGCCTTCACCGGTCACAGTCCCGCCCAGGCTGGGAAAGGGAGAAAGAGTTTCCATAGCGATGGCAACATTCCACCTTTCTTCTGAGGGGGGAGTTTACACTTCAGCCTCACAGGCTCAAGGGCACCAGATTCAGATAAAATTTGTTATGGGTACAGACAGAGATAATTTCCTCTCTGCCTTCGTGTTCTGTTGGTCTACAACCCCTCTAGATCCAATAATGGCGTAATTAATCTATCCCAATCCGTGCTGATCCGTCAACTCGCTCCTTGATCGAATCCACCTTCTGTGCCAGAGCCTGAATCTCAGCCAAAGTTCCAAGCTTACGACTCATCTCGACAATTATATGAGTTTGTGCGTTCACAGCGCGCTGCATTCCATCCCTGAGCTCCGGGATTGAGCCAATATTCCTCAAAAGCTCGTTAATTTCCCGTTAAACCAGGTAACAGCAGGAATCCCGACACCAACATCACGAATTTTCAAACGTCTTCAGAATCCTCTACAGACAGTTGAGAGAAGCAGATCAGGTTCCACTGTTTCCAGGAGTCCATGATATAACCAGCTGGCTCTGTCCCAGAGGGGCATCCGGGAGCCCCTTCTCCCGTTCTCATAGCTGAAAAAGTTTTGTCAATTGCGTTGAGAGACCAACTGACCAGGTCCATGTTTAATAATCTCCAGTTTCCAGAAAAAATGCAGAAAGCGCCGTGCACAGGCAGACACCGGACAGAGAGCCTTGGGATAAGGAGGGAGGGAGAGGAGGAAAAGAGCGTCTGTACTCTCCAAGAGCCGGAAGAAGAGATGAGCTTATGGACAGTTCTAATGGGAAACCGGCTTCAACACAAGCGGTTGTTTTCTGCTTGGTCCTAGTGCTCAACCAGTGTCTAATACAGCGGAAGATTGTTTTTGGACGGGAAAAAGTGCAGAGGACAAAAATGTACTTTGGAAAAAACTACGTCCATATGTGGGTGTCTATAATTTTGTTTTAAAGATCAAGTTCAGTGAAAAACTATTTTTACTTGTTATTTTTTTAAATATGATCGGCCACTGAGTTTCCACCCATTTCCTGCGTTAGCCACCAGCGGAAATTCATCGGGGAAACGCTCGGATTAGAAAGGCCTGCCAATTGCACGTCACACTGATAAACGGACTCACCTATCTGGACTTGCAATGAGGAAGGCTGTTGTTGATTTAGCGTCCAGGAGAGAGCAGAGCACGCCTCCGCTCTGAGAAGCAAACTGTTAGCATTAGCAACTCCACAACATGGCAGGACGCCTCCAGGCTTGTGGTGTTTGTGGAGATAAAAGTTCAACATTGCAGAGCAAACAAAGTCAGTGGTAGAGTCGTGTTACTGTTAGCCAATCAGAGTCAAGATGTCCAAATATCAGAAAATAAGACCTCAGATTCTGCAATCTGCTGCTCACCTCTCATCTGGCTCACTTCTACTTCCTGAAACTGAAGCGCCAGATCGTTTTTCCACACAAGGCATTCATTTCTACCAGAAACTGCTGCTAATGTGTTGAAACAAGTGAACTTGGTCTTTAACTTACATTTGTTACCTGAATGCTACCAGTGTGTGAATGTTGTGTTACCTGTCAGCTGCCATACCACACCATACCAAGTTTACTTGTACAGCACATTTAAACACGGCATGAGAGCCGACCAAAGTGCTGAACAAAAACACAATAAAAACAATCAAAAATAAAAACTAAATCAATTAAAATCGAGTAATTCAAATAGAAAAGAAAACAAGTTAGACTGAATTAAAAGCCAGAGAATAAAAGTGAGTTTTTGAACGAGACTTAAAAAGGGAAAGAGAGGAAGAGCGTCTGATCAGGAGGGGCGAGTGGTTCCAGAGCTTCGGTGCACAAACTGAAAAGGCGCGCTCCCCGCAGGACTTACAGCGGGAGCTAGGGACATGTAGGAGGTGCTGGTCGGCTGATCGGAGGGATCGCGTAGGGACATAAGGGTGAATGAGCTCGGACAAGTAGCCAGGTGCTAAGTTATTGAGGGATTTGAAACAAAGACCAGGATCTTAAACTCTATCCGGAGATAGATGGGGAGTACACCGGTGCGATGTGTTCTCGCTGCCTGGTGCCAGTCAGGAATCGAGCTGCTGCGTTCTGCACTAGCTGAAGGCGGGCGAGAGTGGACGAGGAGATACCGTATAGCACTGAGTTAGAGTAGTCGAGGCGGGAAGTAATGAAGGCATGGACAACTGAACGGAGATGACGCCTTTTTAAAATGGGCTTAACTTTAGAGAGACGCCTCAGGTGGTAAAACAGGCCTTCACTACCTGGTTGACATGAATGTCCCTTTTTAGGTTAGCATCCATCACGACCCCTAAGTTTGTGACACGGGTTTTCAACCCACTTGAAATAAAAGGAAGGGTCATTTGGGGGCTTGGAGAAGTCTTAGGGCTGAAAATGATGGCCTCTGTCTTGGCTTCGTTCAGCAAGGGGCTGTAAGGAGTCATTAGGCTTCACAGAGGCATATAATTGACAATCGTCTGCATAGAAACGGTAGTCAACGTGGTGCCTTGATGTTACCTCTGTTCTAGCGGTGCCACAGATGTGGCATCTTTTCTGTCACCCCTGACCTACGTGTTGCCTGTGTGCCACCTGTCTTTTACCTGTACATTGTATTTGCATCGCCCATGTTACCTCTTGTGTTTCCCTGAATGTCACCCGCGTGCGGTGTGTTTTCCGTCTTACCGGTGTGTGTGATGTTAAGGCTCAGTTCACTCTTCAGCCTCTTCAGACTCTCAGTCTCCTTCTTCAGGTCGAGCAAAGAATCCCTGAAGCCTTCAGCCAGCGTGGTCAGAGCTGAGCGACTCTCAGACAACATCTGCACACATGCATGACGGCGCGGATTATTCACAAGCTGTTGCCTGATTAGTTGCTTTCCTGATTCGACTACCTGGACGATGCGACTCTGTTCACTTTGCATTCCATCCATCCGTTGGTCCAGAACACTTTGACTTGTTTTCAGTGAGTCGGTTTCCAGGTTCAGGTTGTAGGCTTGGCCCGTCAGCACCTTCAGATCATCGCCCAGCTTCTGGACCAGGCCTCGTTCCTGCCACTCTCCTGATTTGTGAATGGTCAGCGCTTGCAGCAGCGAGCGCTGCAGTTCCTCCCAGTGCAGGAACTGCTCACTGAAGTCTGGACAGTTTGGGTCCAGAAAGATGCTGATTGGTTCCTCTTCTGCCCCGTGTGATACCCTCACTATGGCACCAGAGTCAATGGTATTTGTTGAAATCACAGGTGAGGCAACTCCACCCCTGTTACCATGACAATCCCAGGTGAGTACTGAGATGGACAGAGACGCTGATGTGTAAAAAGACAGGTGCGTTACCTCCTGAAGAAGGGAAGAGGATGCTGGTTCAAGTACAGGACGCAGACCGTTGCTGTGACGATGGCAGCTATGACGACCAGGATGGTGACAAACCATGACACGAAGGTGCGGCACCTCTGAACACAACAGATCACAACTTCATTTTAGTGGTTTAACTGGGGTGGCAGTGGTACAGTACTGGTCTGTAGGGGTGGGGTTTCCAAAACCATTCAAAGCACTGCTGGTAATCTGAAGCATCAAACATACAAAAAGAAAAGAAAATGTTTAATTTAATCTGATTTAACGAGATTATCAACACTCTTAAGTAGAAAATAATTACCTGTAAAATTACCAAGAGTTATGGGTACCACCATGAAAACAAATCATGAGTTCTTGCAGAACTTAACCTACAGATCCTGAGCAGATCAGTGAAGCTGACAGATGTAGCAGATTAGACACCCTTTAATCTGACAGTTTAACTCCATCTTAACGCAGATTTAACTTTTACAAGCTTCCCGCTGTTCCTCACAGCAGGAGGCCAAGGGTTACCTGGTGCTTGTTGGGTCGTCTGCTGTCCAGTTCAGAGCTGCTGTTATTCATGATGGTCCACCGATCATTCAGCGTCATCCTGAAGCATCAGCACAGTCCAACATTAGAGTTCTGGATCACATGACACCGCCTCAGTCCACCTCACCTCCAGCCTTCACCAACCGTTTGTTTGTTCCTGTAGAGTTCCTTTAGTGTTCCTCTAATGTTGCTGTGTTGGTCATCTAATGTCACACTGATGTTCCGCTAGTGTTCCTGCAATGTTCATGTAGTACTTCTGCAGTGCTTTTCAACTAGGCATGCCCCCTACTGGCACCCCCATGCAGGAGCAGGAGGATCCATTATTATTCAGCATTTCCATGCATGGATGCAAAGACGACCTCCAGTCACTAGATGGCAGCAGTGATCAAACCAATGAACAGGATGTCTGTAACCCAACGACAAAAGGGACAAACCCTCTGTGGAGTTACCTATAGGTTTCTGAGGCACCCTACGGTCTTCTGCGAAGTGCACATGGAGGAAGTCTGCAGCAAGGCTTCGAGTGTGTGCGGTACACACGTGTGCAAATAATTGCTGAATTGGGACAAGGAGCGTTGCATCATTCACCGCATGGCGGGAAGCTGGTCGCTGTGCTACTTTCAAAAAACAAACTTTATTAAAAACTTTCAAACAACCAAACAAATGCCTGTGTGCTCGGCTTCTGACCAAGTCCTCCAAACACACCCACATCACCCCGCTTCTCCTCCAGCTTCACTGGCTGCCAGTCAACTTCAAGATCCTGGTTCTGGTCTATAGGGCCTTACATGGACAAGCACCATCTTACATTGGTGATCTTCTTAGTCCCTACACCCCCAGCAGGTCCCTGAGGTCCAGTGATCAAAGCCTACTGGTTGTGCAGCACCAGGCTAAAGGTCAAAGGTGACAGATCATCTGCTGCTGTAGCCCCCAGACTCTGGACCTCTCTCCCCCTGAGCCTGAGATCAGTGGACTCAGTGGTCTCCTTTAAAAAGCAGCTGAAGACTCACTTGTTCAAGCTGGCTTTTGTATGACCTTCTTCACCTCTCTCTCTTTATTCTGCTCTCCCCACCTATTCCACCTTCCTCAGGATCCACTGATTTCCCTCTTTCCTGTTCACTCTCTCTCTTTATTTACATTTTTTAATCACAATTGTCTATTCTTGCTCATTTTAAATATATTTTTTATCATTTTCTAAATTCTTTTTGATATTTTTACATTTTTTGTTTTTGTGAAGCGCCTCGTGATTTTTATCTTGAGAGGCGCTATAGAAATGATACTTTCTTCTTCTTATTTGAAAGAAATTTACCTTCACTGCTGCTTTCAGGGCATCGATTCATCTTCCTGAAATGAGCTACTTTCATATGAAAGTACATATTTTCAGAAAAGGCACTTGAGCCTTTTCTCCCACAGCAATGGATTATGGGTAATACACTTCACCCAAGTCCGCATCGATGAGGACTTGGGTGAAGTGTGGCTCAAGGGTGCAGAGGGGGCCTGATCAACTTCCACAACAGCCCCTGCACTCGCACCCCTGGGTGGGATTGCACAAGTGAAAGACGCAGATGTGGAAGTGCGAGTGTTGGGATTGGGACTTTGGCCTGAAGCCTAGAGGGCGGTTCCGATCACCGCCATCTTGGCCGTGTCACACGTCTCCAGGATTTGGGCAAAGAAGTGGAGCTGAGAGGGGCATTTTGAGGATCTTCTTCTGTGGTTGCTGCCAGCTGACTTAACTGAGCTCAGGTTTGCTGGAGCTTTCAGGCAGAAAAACGTGACTGAGGGACATGAAGCTTGCATCAACTCAACGAGCTGTGCAGTTTCTGTGGTTTTCTCTGAGAGCTCCACATGAGAAAAGCACCGCCTCGGACCACAGGGATCGGAGCCGTGAGTCGTCGCTTCGCCCCTCTGCAGCAGCTGGAGATCTGTGGGACCGCCGCCGGGGCTCTGAGCGTGCCTTCGCTATAACTGGTGGGTTGCAGGCTCGCGCCCCAGTTTATCCGAGCGTGTTTTTAAATCAGGGCTGCGCAGTGGCGCAGTGGTTAGAGCCGCTGCCTTGCAGCTAGAAGGTCCTGGGTTCGCTTCCCGGCCTGGGGTCTTTCTGCACGGAGCTTGCATGTTCTCCCTGTGCATGCGTGGGTTCTATCCGGGTTCTCCGGCTGTTAGGTTGATCGGTCTGTCTAAATTGTCCTTAGGTGTGTGTGTGTGTGTGTGTGCATGATTGTTGCCCTGCGATGGGCTTGCTCTCTGTCCAGAGTGTACCCCGCCTGATTGCCCGTTGACCGCTGGAGATAGGCACCACCCCCCATGACCCTACGTGGAGAAGCGGGTTCAGAAAATGGACAGATGCTTTTAGATTAGACACCTCCCCTCCCTGCTCGTAGGGTGAAAACGTGAAAAGGTGTGGGCACATCTTCTTTAGATGATCATAGAGATCATTCAAGAGACACACAACTCACACACTTACAGTTCCACTAGTCCGACCTAGCAGGGGCGTGTCCAGATCTTTTAAAATGGGGTGGCCCAGGTGAGGCACAACTTTGTGCATGGGTGGCACCAATGGTTATGCTTTTTTTGTTTGACCCCCAATCCTTTTGTGGACAATGAAAAGCCTATTTAAAGGTGAACTAGTGTGGTGGCACCTGGGGTGGCCAATCAGATTCCAAGGGTGGCATGTGCTACCCCTGGCCACTCCCTGGACACGCCCCTGCGACCTAGAACGTTCTTCTGAAGACCAACACGCCCGTTTACACTATCGGAAATTCCAGGTAATTTTACCAGACCTTTGTGGCGTGCGCATGTCTCAATTCCACCAAACCAGCTCAAAAGGAGCATTTTCCAGGTCGTTCCTGGAACCAACGAATAACAGGGGTTTGTACTGGGAGAGGCCTGGTAAAATTGGGGTTATCTCATGCTGACTGGTTGAAACGCAGAAGGAAATTACATCAGCGGGTGTCGGCACACCAGCCAGCATTCGTAAAACTGTTGCTGGGAATGCTGAATACAAGAAAAGGACTCCCGACTCCAACGAATGCTGTGGAAATTCCTCCTCAACGCTGCAGTTGTTGATGCTTCGTTGTCTCACAGAGCGCTGTAAAAAACGATGTTTTTTCTGGTCCTTGAACGCTGCTTTATACGTCACACAACCGCTCTTCTCATCCCCTGGGTAGACAGATTTATGACATAATTTAACAGAATAAAAGTCTTGACATTGTTGATGTCCTTTGATGCTTTTTGGTTCTGATCGGTGACATGATGTCCTGAAAAGGCTGAAGCACGGCTAAGGTAACCTCCTCTTTATAGACTCCCTGAACCCCGGTGGCAAACGAGTTTCCGAGTAACCCTTTTGTCTTCCCGGAGAACACGTAGAAGTTCCATCAACAACCGTGCAACCACCCCAGGAGAACATCCACCCGCCTAATAAACAGAACACCGAAGATTTGCTGGATCTGAGTATGGACCACCAGAGATCTTTAGAAGCCCTCAGGAGGGCGTCCAACGTGGAGCTCACGCTCTCCGTTCTGTGGTGGAGGGTCAGTCGCGGTTTAGGTCTACAGTTAGGGTTAGGGTTAGAACCCGCTGCTCCTTCCAGTGAGTGATTAAAGCTGACAGAACCTCTGTCGGCTGATCCGGTTCTGTTTTAGGTTCTGCCAGTTTGCCTCTAATCTGACTGATCCATTCTGACTCTAAGGTCCTCACTGCTGCAGGAAAACCTCACCCTGCACCTGGTCTACAGGTGGAAACCATGGTAACCTGAGTAGGTCAGAGCCTACTCCCAGCTGCTGTTTGTTTCAGGCTGTTGGATTTACTGTCTGATTTATGGGTTCAAACAAACAAACAAACAAACA